GGAACGGTGTATTTCTACTGTGTTATTGGTGTGTATTTCTACTGTGTTATTGGTGTGTATTTCTACTGTGGTCGTGGCGTGTATTTCTACTGTGGTCGTGGCATGTATTTCTACTGTGGTCGTGGCATGTATTTCTACTGTGGTCGTGGCATGTATTTCTACTGTGGTCGTGGCGTGTATTTCTACTGTGGTCGTGGCATGTATTTCTACTGTGGTCGTGGCGTGTATTTCTACTGGGGTCGTGGCGTGTATTTCTACTGGGGTCGTGGTGTGTATTTCTACTGGGGTCGTGGTGTGGTCGTGGTCGTGGCATGTATTTCTACTGTGGTCGTGGCATGTATTTCTACTGTGGTCGTGGCGTGCTGTTATTGGTGTGTATTTCTACTGTGGTCGTGGCATGTATTTCTACTGTGGTCGTGGCATGTATTTCTACTGTGGTCGTGGCATGTATTTCTACTGTGGTCGTGGCATGTATTTCTACTGTGGTCGTGGCGTGTATTTCTACTGTGGTCGTGGCATGTATTTCTACTGTGGTCGTGGCGTGTATTTCTACTGGGGTCGTGGCGTGTATTTCTACTGGGGTCGTGGTGTGTATTTCTACTGGGGTCGTGGTGTGTATTTCTACTGTGGTCGTGGCATGTATTTCTACTGTGGTCGTGGCATGTATTTCTACTGTGGTCGTGGCGTGTATTTCTACTCTGTTATTGGTGTGTATTTCTACTGTGGTCGTGGCGTGTATTTCTACTGGGGTCGTGGCGTGTATTTCTACTGGGGTCGTGGTGTGTATTTCTACTGGGGTCGTGGCGTGTATTTCTACTGTGGTCGTGGCATGTATTTCTACTGGGGTCGTGGCGTGTATTTCTACTGGGGTCGTGGCGTGTATTTCTACTGGGGTCGTGGCGTGTATTTCTACTGGGGTCGTGGTGTGTATTTCTACTGGGGTCGTGGCGTGTATTTCTACTGTGGTCGTGGCGTGTATTTCTACTCTGTTATTGGTGTGTATTTCTACTGTGGTCGTGGCGTGTATTTCTACTGGGGTCGTGGCGTGTATTTCTACTGTGGTCGTGGCGTGTATTTCTACTCTGTTATTGGTGTGTATTTCTACTGTGGTCGTGGCGTGTATTTCTACTGGGGTCGTGGCGTGTATTTCTACTGGGGTCGTGGTGTGTATTTCTACTGGGGTCGTGGCGTGTATTTCTACTGTGGTCGTGGCATGTATTTCTACTGTGGTCGTGGCGTGTATTTCTACTGTGGTCGTGGCGTGTATTTCTACTGTGGTCGTGGTGTGTATTTCTACTGTGGTCGTGGCGTGTATTTCTACTGGGGTCGTGGCGTGTATTTCTACTGTGGTCGTGGCGTGTATTTCTACTGTGGTCGTGGCGTGTATTTCTACTGTGGTCGTGGTGTGTATTTCTACTGTGGTCGTGGCGTGTATTTCTACTGTGGTCGTGGTGTGTATTTCTACTGTGGTCGTGGCGTGTATTTCTACTGGGGTCGTGGCATGTATTTCTACTGTGGTCTTGGCATGTATTTCTACTGTGGTCGTGGCGTGTATTTCTACTGTGGTCGTGGTGTGTATTTCTACTGTGGTCGTGGCGTGTATTTCTACTGTGGTCGTGGCGTGTATTTCTACTGTGGTCGTGGCGTGTATTTCTACTGTGGTCGTGGCATGTATTTCTACTGTGGACGTGGCGTGTATTTCTACTGTGGTCGTGGCATGTATTTCTACTGTGGTCGTGGCATGTATTTCTACTGTGGTCGTGGCGTGTATTTCTACTGTGGTCGTGGCGTGTATTTCTACTGTGGTCGTGGCGTGTATTTCTACTATGGTCGTGGCATGTATTTCTACTGTGGTCGTGGCGTGTATTTCTACTGTGGTCGTGGCGTGTATTTCTACTGTGGTCGTGGCATGTATTTCTACTGGGGTCGTGGCGTGTATTTCTACTGTGGTCGTGGCATGTATTTCTACTGGGGTCGTGGCGTGTATTTCTACTGTGGTCGTGGCATGTATTTCTACTGTGGTCGTGGCATGTATTTCTACTGTGGTCGTGGCGTGTATTTCTACTGTGGTCGTGGCGTGTATTTCTACTGGGGTCGTGGCGTGTATTTCTACTGGGGTCGTGGCGTGTATTTCTACTGTGGTCGTGGCGTGTATTTCTACTGTGGTCGTGGCGTGTATTTCTACTGGGGTCGTGGCGTGTATTTCTACTGTGGTCGTGGCGTGTATTTCTACTGTGGTCGTGGCGTGTATTTCTACTAATGTTGACTCACACAAATATGCGTGTGTGGACATTAATACTCTCCCTAAATACAATCTCATGAATCTGCTTGCAAGGTCTTGCGGCAGCTCCTGGGCCCCGCCTTACCAGCTGTCTGTCGTTGTTGTTTTTTAGATTTAGCTACTGAGAATGAAGTGTCCATGTAGCACGGGCTAAGGTGAGCCCGTAAAGCTGGACGGTAGAGCGATAGTCTCGCTTCTTGCAGGTCGGCGTTCAATCCCCGACCATCCAAGTGGTTAAGCACCATTCCTCCCCTCCGTCCCATCCCAAATCCTTATCCTGATCCCTTCCGAGTGCTATATAGCCGTGGTGCCTTGGCGCTTTTTCCTGATAGTTCCATTCCCCGGTACCTTGGTCCATAAATATACAACCTTGGAGAGTGTAGGGAAGCGGTGGGTTCGATCCCATTGTATGTGTTCTATAGCTATACATAGATTCACCATGTGCTCGTGATTGCAGTGCTACAACGCTATTTCCAAACCAGTATTTACCCAGGTCTTTCCTAAATTTAAACTTGTCCAATTTATATCCATTGTTTAGTGTTCTATTTCGTATTTATCGACTTTGTTATACCTTTTCATCCATTTATATGTTCTCATTACGTTACCAGTTTCTCTTCGTTTTTCTATAAAATGTAAATTAAGTTATTTTCATCTATTTTAATAAGGAAGGTTTCTAATTCCTGGGAATAACTTCTTGCCCTTTGCGCAAAAATAACAAGCTTCGTCCCTGTCAATTTTCCCTGAGGATTTTGTATGTGATAATCATGTCTCCGATAACTCTTCTGTCTTCTAGCAACGTGAGGTGCATTTAACGTAACCTTTCCTCGTAACTCATACCTCTTAGTTCTGGAACTAGTCTAGTGGCATAACTTTAAACATTCACCAGCTTCGTCTTATGCTTGGACAAGGTACGGGCTCCATGCTGGAGCTGCATACTCCAGGATTGGTCTTACACATGTATACAAGGTTCTAAATGATTCCTTACACAAATTTCTAAAGGCAGTTTTGATGTTAGCCAGCCTCGCATACGCCGCTGGTGATATCCTTTTGATGTGGGCTTCAGGAGACAGGTTCGATTTGATATTACCTCCTAGAACGTTCTCTCTGTCCATTTCGTGGAGGACTTCGTCTCCCATTCGGTACCATGTGGCTGGCCTCCTGTTCCCTCTACTAAGCCTGTTTTCTTTACATTTACTTGGGTTGAACTTTAGTAGCCATTTGTTGGACCATTCCTACAGTTTGTCTAGATTATCTTGTAGCCTCTTGCTATGTTCCTCTGTCTTAAGCCGCCTCGTAATTTTCGCATCATCAGCAAACAATGAGAGGAACGATTCTATTCCCTCTGGGAGATCATTTATATATATCAGAAACAGTACAGGTCCAAGGACTGAACCCTGCGGGACTCCACTGATGACGCCTCGCTACTCCGATCGAGACCTCACCCCTCACAGTGACTCGCTGTCTTCTTTAGCTTAGGTACTCCCTTATCCACTGGAGTACCTTCCATTTTACTCCTGCCTGCATCTCCAGCTTATGTACTCGTCTCCTGTGGGGGGTACTGTGTCAACGGCTTTCTGGCAATCCAAAAATATGCAGTCTGCCCACACTTCTCTTTCTTGGTTAATTTTTGTTGCCTGATTATATAATTCTATTAATCCTGTGAGGCAAGATTTGCCATCCCGGAACCCATGCTGGTGATGTGTTACAAAGATCTTTCTCTCCAGATGTTCTTCTAGTGTTTTTTGTACGATCTTCTCCATCACCTTGTAAGGTATGCAAGTTAGGGACACCGGCCTGTAGTTCAGTACCTCTTGTTTGTCTCTCTTCTTGTATATTGGAACTACATTAGCCGTCTTTCAAATTTTTGGCAGTTCTCCTGTTGCTAGTGTCTTGTTATGCACCCTTGAGAGTGGTAGGCACAGTGTTTCTGTTACTTCTTTTAGTATCCATGGTGAGATTCCAATTCGGCCTACAACCTTTGCCATATCCAACTCAAGAAAGTGCTTCCTTATCTTCCCACTGATAATCTCAAACTTCTTCAGTGGCGCCTGGTTAGATATTTCCTTTCTTAGCTCAAACATTCCTTGCTCTAATGTGAAGACCTTCTGGAACTTTTTATTCAGTTCCTCGCACACTTCCTTGTTGTTTGGCGTGAACCTGTCTGCTCCTATCATCAGTTTCAATATGTGTTCCTTCACTGCTGTATTCTTTCCGATTGTGATCTCTCCAACAATTTGGGCTGAGTCTTTGCCTTATTTGCAATGTAATTTTTGTACTGTCGTTCTGCCTGTCTTCCCACCCTGAGACATTCATTCCTAGCACTCTGGTATCTTTCTCTGCTCTCTGGTGTTCCGTTATTTCAGTAGTTTCTCCACGCCCTTGTACGTAAGTTGCTTTGCCAGCTTACATTCCTGATTAATCAATGGGTTCCTCATTTGCATTTCGTTATTTTCCTTTTGAACTTTGAGAAACTTGCCTGCTTACACTTCTGGGTGATGTAGTCCATCATGTCTTGGGCAGCCGCACCTCTGAGCTGTTTTAAATGTTACATCTATTAGGATTTTTGTTTATCTCATAGTTTCCTCGTTCGAGACGACAGCCTTTTGTTTTCTGGTCCCTAGCTGGTCGACCGTACCTCGACCAGCGACCCAAACATCAGTTGACTGTGGTCGCTCGTTCCCGCGGCGGCTCAGTCTGAATCGTTCAAAGTAAATACCAGATGAAGTCTATGGCTGGTATGTCGTTGTCTCTCACTCTTGTGGGTCCCCCCTGACATGCTGGGTTAAAAAGGTTCTTATTGTCACACTCGGTAATAAAGCTTTCCATGTTTCTGCGCCCACCATCCACTGCTTATATGAAATATTACAATTATAGTATTACAATAGTATTATGGTATTAACTGTGTGTGTGTGTCTGTGTATTTACGATTTGTATTCACTATTTGTATCTGGAGAATCAAGCTATTAGTTCTTGGACCCCGCCTTTCTAATCAATTTATTTTTCCTCTGATTATGTCTACTACATATATTTCTAGCACACACACACACACACACACACACACACACACACACACACACACACACACACACACACACACACACACACACACACACACACACACACATTCCCAGGAAGCAGCCGGTAGCAGCAGTCTAACTCCCAGGTATCTATTTACTGTTAGGTAACAGGGGCATCAGGCTGAAAGAAACCTGCCCATTTGTTTCCGTCATCTGTTGCTTAGGAACTCCCTTCTCCAGTGGAGTACCTTCCCTTTCACT